ACATCTAACTACGCCTGTTGATGGTCTTGGCCCTCTGAAAATCTGTGACCATGGTCAAAGTGAATCACTTTGAGTGATGATGGTGCATCGAACCCCAATCAACGACTCGATAAGATCAGGTTAACCGTGATCAGTGACTATGTCTCCGGGTTCTGCGATGCTGAGTGTGTTCACTCCTCCGAGAAGAACGACACTTGTCACCTCCGTATCGTCTATCCTATGGCATTATTAATGGCCGGTGTACCTGCTCGCCGATAACCATGCGTGCGAAGATACGTGCATGCCTGTGCAGCCTGTGGCTATCATCGCCTCGTCACATGTGGAGCAGCGATGCACCACTGACTTGTGAGCTTTATCCACACCCACCCGAGCCGGAGGATGTGCGTCGGGACCGCACTGTGTCAAACCATGTTCACACCATGCGCTCTCCGAGTCGGGAACCCCGACCACGTAGAACCCCGGCGTATTCGCTAGCTACGGACTCCCTGATTGCCGATCTACAGGTCAGACAGTGAGAGTGCTAGTCTGACACTAGCAGCTAGTCTGTAGTTGCACAGGTGATTGACTGGCAATCTCAGCTAAAGCGGGATCCTAGCACTCGGCGAATGACGCCCTGGTTCTCCAAGCCCATACTCTCGAGTCAGAGTGTTTTCCATGCTATGAGCGGTGCTACTAAACGAGTCCATGCGTTGGCGACATATATGCTAAAGTACCTATTGAGAGGCCGTGAGCCTGCTTTGTCAGCGTTCATCTCGCAGAAAACCTTGCTCGTCGGAGATTGGATGCCTGTTGATCCCACTTTCATCTCCTCCACTGTCGTGACTCACAACTCGTGAGCCTCGAATTCCCGGCTTACCTGATCTGGAAAGTGGTAACAGCGGCAACGCCGTTGTGAGCTGCACAAACGCGGATGCTGTGAAGAACCAACTCGTGGAGATCACTGATGCCGTAAAGCCGTCAATGCTACGTCAATAAAGGTTGCAAGAGGCAACCAAAGTCTACGAGAAGAATTGGGAGTCTCGACGCCAGGGGGGACGAGGATCTCCTCTATCGTCGACACTCTCTTTCAATTCTGGTGATAAGGTTTACGTATTTGCTCATAAATCTTCTGGGGTGGCGGATAGTTGTCGAGGTCCTAAGGACCTGGTCCTTACACAATCAATGTTGCCACAGTTCATACCCTGGTAGTGGAAACTCCCAACGGCTTTGAAGACTTGAAATTGAAGTGCATTCTGCCAACAAATGCAAGTTGTGTTCCACTGCTGATGAGCAGAGGAGCAGTTTAGCTCCGTTATTTACGGACATTGCGGATAATGATGTCCAGAGATTCATGAAGAGGGTCATACTGATGGGACCTGTTGGAGTCCATAATCCCCAAGCCATATCTGATGAGGCAGAAATCACGTCTCCCGCACTCAGTACATATCATATTTCAACTCCATCTCCTACTGTGGCTGTCTCGCCGAGTAAGAGTCAAACCGGTGCTACTGCTAAGGAGATAATGAAGAGAACTGTGTTTGCTCCTTGATTATTCTATGTTACAACGCGTATAATTTCTGCGATTCTTGGACAGGAGGATATGGTAATCCATTTACCCTTGCCACCTTGCTCTATTTTGAGTGCCTGCATTTTTGTACACAATGAGTATTCCAGTATATTATAGCTATAGATTATAGCGTCAATACAAGTATACGCATACGTGCACGTGTCCACGCTAAATATTCTGGCTTCAAGCTCTAAGATCAGTCTATCAGGGTAGAGCACACACTTTTCTTACCTAAGCGTTCCCTTATCTTGTGGTCTACCAGTGTGTTTGGTTTGGAACACGACATGACTTCGCGACATCATCGGCACGAAGCCACTTCCAATGGATACGAGGAACAGCTTTAAATAACAATTTATCCATCCTCAGAGGATGATCCTCTCACCAGCAGCAAAATAATGATCACCACTATTAGTCCCATGATTAGTAATACGACACTATTATTCTGATATATAATATAAGTGATGGAATTCTGAGGGTCTACAGGTCAATTGCATCTCTACAGCTAATATCGGGTCGCCTTGACGCCAGTACCAGTCTGAGGTCGATGTACATAAGCTGTCTAAAGCAGCCCGCCTTCGCCGAGTCCCACCATGGACAGAGTCCGGCAGATCACCGCCTCGGAACCCAAAGATTAGTGAACCCGGGGATCATGAAACCGAGAAATGATATGTTGCCGAAAGCCCCGTGGGACGATCGCAACTCCTTAGACACTTCGTGGGCAATATTCTACTAACTCAAAGTAACTCTAGTAACTCAACCATACGGACAATTTGTTGAGCGCAACCACAGCGTGCACCATCCGCGACATAATACTAGTACCGAGACAAATCTCGTCAAATGCTTCAAGAGAAGCAGAGCTTACTTCAAGCTTTATCCAGAGATACATCGGATCTCTTGCACAGTGTGCAATGCACACACACCCTTGGTGTGACACCCAACCGTCAAGCCACATACAATGCTGTTCCCCCAGAGTCCAGCAGCCACAGCACAGATACCGATTTGCCCTCTGCCGCCGCTCACTCCATGGCGAGCTGAGATTGAGCAACGTTCCAGACTGGAACTCCCAGTGGAATGGTTCTACCGTATAGACCTGTGATGATTGAGCGTCGTCGCTTTCAAACGAAGCTGGCAGTGACAACTCGTTGTAGCTGCGTGCTCAAACCTTCTAATCGTGGTATATGATAGGCCTTCAAGAGTTGTGGGTGGGACTTAGCGAGGAGGCCGTACACATCGAGAACCAGCATCTGTGATTGATGTGATTATAACGCGATCACAGTGTCTACTGCTTTCGACGATGTCAAGTTGACCGTCAACTGTTGACGTCTCGTCATGCACCACTTCCATGACATGAAGCTGACATGACATGAAACACGACATGATTCATGTCACATTGTGACATGAATCATGTCGTGTTTGAAATGTCCGTTTGAGCATTGTTGAGTGGGGAAGATATAATTGACGAGCCAAAACTCAAGTACAGCATTATCAAGTTGTGATAAGACTTGTTCAATAAGTAGAATAGCAAAGCCGTAGCTCCTCAGTAGGAGTGGCGACAAGAATCGATAAACTTTCTCGGAAAACATAAGACTCGTTTTCATTGAGCTGAGATTGAGAGTTCCATAGTCAAGACAACAAGACTTGTACCATCATCGTGATAGATTGCATGTGGCCGCGGTCGCAATCAAAAGCTGATAAGGTTGAATTCTGTGTGGTTGAAGATCAACAGCACACCAGTTTCCATGTAGGCAGAGAACCAGAAACCCCAAACCAGAGGGAATTCGAGCTTATACTTCAAGAAACTTCCACCTTGTGATGAACCAAACATTGTACCCTTGACCTTGAATCCAGAGACACCGTAATCGACTCCACCGCTTAGCGGGATGTAGTTTCCGATCAAATTGTTTGCACCGCCACCGGTCACGCCAGTACCACCGAATGGGGCACTTATCACATCGAAGGATGCAACCTTGATCGACACCTCGCCAGTAAGCTGATAACCACAGGCTATTTTCACTTCACCATCGAAATACCTAGGGTTTCCGCCATCCAGAATTTGATAAGTAGCGGTGGCGTCGAGGCGTACGTTGTCACCGACAGAGTAGACAGAGATAGTGCCTCCACCAGAAATATGCATGTCAACAGCCAGATTTCTCTCCTGGACGACATTTAACCCAGCCGAAATACGTGTTGTATTAGGCGAGAGATAGTCAAACACGGATCCAATGACATCGATGTTGTTCTTACTTCCGTCCCTGTTTATAGCAGCGTGGATACAGAAGCTTTCGTTCACCGGCTTCTCCGTCAAGCTACAAGCCTTAGGAAACGCCACGTCAACAAGCTTCCTACCATGACGTTGATTCTTGAAGTACTCCTCGGCAGCACTGTTTGGTTCAATACCGAAATACTCGATAGGTTGGAATATAGATGAAGCATTGCTCTTGCGAAGACTTCGAGTGCCGCGACCGTTCTTCACCCAATCAAGTACCGTCCAACGTTCATCATAAGCCGAATAGGATAGACGCTCAGTTTCTGGTAGATACTGGCTAGACACCATCGCGGGACTGTGAGTATGGAATGCTGAGCTTCTGAACGGGTTCTGTAGTGACATGTTGTATTTAACAGTACTTGCATAAGTGGCATGAAGCTCGTCCACAGCTTCCTCGAGGCTCATGTCATCCTTGAGCTCGCCGTAAGCTGTCACCAACACTTCTTGATAGAGCTCGTTGCCCATATAGCTATTCCTTGCCTCCATTTTCAACAATTTACCGTCAACATTTTCATCCATGTACATAGTGAAAAAGTCGGCACTCAGTCCTTCCTTGGCGAGTTCATCAAGTACATGACCTCCTGGTATGTTGGCCGCGTAGCCGACGAACACTTGCGCCGGGGTCCCATCTAAGTCGGCTCGACCAAGACTAGTGAAGCCGGACTTGACGAGATCGGTGAAATGTCTGTAAGCATGTCCCTGAGCCTCGTAGTCAGTGTTACCATCAACTGCGCCTTCACTGATGACCATCGCTACTCCACCGAAGATTTCCTCATATCTACTATAATCAGCGGAGTTGGCCGTGAGCACATACTTGTACGGTCTGTTAGGAAGAGCTTCAACTCTAGCCATACCATCATCAGTTAAAATAATATCTTCTCTCTCGGTGAGAACTCCATCATCCATACCAGGTAAGACAAGACCCTCTGTCTCAGCTTGATCTGAGAAACCACAAGGAGTGGTGGTTCCGATGCCAAGACTTCTTCTCAATGTGGTGCAGTAAGTCTTTCTCACGAGTTGTCTACGAGTAGTTAGCCCTGAGGCAGGACTCTGCAACACAGCGAGCACCAAGGTGAAGAGATAGAGTGGAATATTTGGGTTAGTTGCCATCGTCGAAGGACCTAACAATCTACGAAGTTCCAGATTCAATGCCGAGCACTCAGCCATTCTCGGATGATTGACAATTTAGTCGAGGATCAACCAGCGTATAGTCAGGAAGAACCCGTTATCAGGGCGATGAACTAATCAATTTAGGGTAATGCTGGGGCAATATCAGCCGAGCCATATCGGTACGCCTACTCGGTCCGCACGTGTGAAGTTCACACTGTGAACAGCGACATAGGAAATATCAATTTTTCTCATGACAAACGTGGGATTGCGGAGTCCGCAAGCGGAATGGGGTTGAAGAATAGTCCCATGTTGTGTGACTGAGCTCTATGAGAGAGTAGTTGTGGTATAATCCCTCCACTCCACACTGGTGTGTGGGCAGCAGAATTTCTGCGATCAGCAAGCGGGAAGACAACAGAGACGGATACACTCTACCGAGCTAGCGTGCCAACTCTAAGGCACCCTTGAACCAGAGTGGAGATGCCGTAGCCTCAGCATCTCTGGCCAACGACGAAGGAAGCTGTCCTTCGGGCGTTGAACCTCAGAGCAGCCGCGGTGGAGCATATCTCGTGACAAGCGCTATCAAGGATCTGCTGTTTCGTAGCAGACCGTGGCCGAAAATGTCTTTCCTTGCTTGTACCCTCGCAGCATGGTTGATTTTCTACATGAAAACGCAGATGCGTTCAACGTTCTGGTCATGCGTACATCTGGTTTGTTTGAATGATAGCATCTAACGAGAATTATCTGTTTAAATGAGGATGGCGACAGATGAGCAGTTCTGCAGTTGTTGCTGCTGTGCAGGATGGAAATTTCGTGTCGCCCAACGAGTGGTAGTGTCACAAGTACTGAGATCTTGTCTACTCTGATCCACAGTACAGGGTAGGCATCTGACTAGCTCTGATGGAAAAGAGCCTTCGCCTCTATGCTCGTAAAGAAGACTGCGTAGGTCCGAACTCCACCAGGGACTTGACAAGGCCCTCAGAACAATCTTGGAATCCCCGAGCAGTAGTCCTCCAGCAGTAGACATCTTATTCACTATGCTGTCTCCTTTCGCTGTCTGCTCTCCCGGTAACTACAAATTCTTCGTTTGCGTGAGGATGGTTCGAGAGAGTCTATCATACGTCCAAGTTGAAGCAAATGTACTGTTAACAGCTCGTAGCTCAGCAACGGCCGCTGTATCCACTCTTATTATTATATGAAGCGTTATTCTCCCAATTCGGATTGGAAAGCCCTTGTCATTGTGCAGCTCCAATACGCGCTGTCTACATTGTAGACTCTACATGAACCCGGTGGACTCGCGCCAGTGATGTCCAGGTGGAGGGCAGAAGCACTCGCGACGCAAGTCTCGCGTCATCACAAAAGACTTTTGCATTCTTCGGCTACAATATTTAGTGTAAGAGTATCGAGTTGAAGAACATTTCTACCCAAGTAGCTGCGCGTGAGCATCTCATAGGAATCCTATGAGATTCCTATGATCCATCATCCTATTGCGGTGTCACTTGGCTCAAGGTCGAGTCTTCCCAGTGCTAACTCAAGAGCGTCGTTGTCTAGGGAGTTAACCACTAGGAAATGATAGTGATACTAACTATAATAGAGCTACCATCAACATCATAAACCGATAATCTGTTTAATAATCCCGCAACCGGGGGCACGTGCACAAGCGTTGAGCGCTTAACCTATGCGTGCCAGCGGAGCGATCGATGTCATGTTTGCCGAAAAAGAGATTGCCTGCAATGAAGGGGCCCTTCCGATGGCTTGGTGCAGTAAACCCAAACCGCACTATGATAGGATAATGAATCAGCGTGAACTTTCCATTTTTTGAGAGATTTCTTCTCCTTGAGCTTATGTGAGTCCGTCATGGACTCAACACTGGCCGGGATCTTTCTCGTAGTCCATATAATACAGAATATCTCAGTACCCCTTAGTCTTCCTCCTCCTCGCTCTCAGCGGTCTATTGAATGTCCAGCATACTTTGCGGGGGAGCGCATACCATATTCGGAAATTTCACAGTCGAAATCATCTCTACGAAGGCACTTATCGCGAATGTTGCTGCTACATATAGTGACGGAAAACTGAGTGGAACCGCGGAGGGTGTTCGGTTCGCCTAAAACTCCTCTAATGTGGACATCCGTGTTAGGGACATATACAAGTTAGACGACCTGATTGGAAAGATATCAGCTCCCATCAGTGGAGATGACCTTGCTAACCTCAAGTATGGCAAAGGCAGAATCCTCGTTTTGAATCTGCGCAAGTCCCCACTTGGAGCGCTGTTGATTGCCGTCGCATGCCGAACGAAATGGTAGTTTTTTAGAAACTATTTTTATCTTTTCGACTATCAGCCATTTTGGTCTAACAGCATGGACGATAATCATTCGGATCATTCTTCTGCAAACACTTTTACCATCAATCTGGAAGGCATCTCGGGGGATCTCCTTAGCCTCAATCATCATTACTCTTTGTTTTCATTAGTAAGTCGCTTACCAGAAGATTTGATCGTTTATGAGTAGTTCAAAATTTGAACAACGAATGGTATCTGGTATATTGTCCATTTTCAATGTTTGGCTCTTGAGTTCAAGCCACTAGATTTAGCTGATCTGAGATTGTCGACCTCAACTCAGCGACATGTGACGCATCGTAGTGAATAACGACGAAGAGTGTTTGGCACGGGAACAGAGTCATCACTACTTGTTATGGCTCAGTTTTCGGAAAAACCGAGGTTGAATCACATGCAATGATTGGCTTGCTCACCAGTGAAGGTAATTAAGTGGACTTGTTCATCCAACGGAGTGTGACCCACACTGTAGACCACACGTCGTTGGATTCTCTTGGAGTGACTTATTCTGTTAGCTTGGTAGCTCAGCCAACTCCATGAGTACTAGATACTGCGTCTCCTAGTTGCAGTCTGTATCAGCAGCCTCTCCGCGCTTAAGTTCATTCGACTCCGTGACACTCTTCGCATACAAATGGATTCCGCACTGAGAGGTGTTCAGGATCTGGCGGGGAGGTTCCGATCACTGTTTCGGACACGCGGCACTCTAGTCGTCACCGAGGTTCCTCCGGAGGCATTCAAGCTCATGCAGCAAACCAGGATGGGCATGAATGCATTCTTTCGCGGACCAAATCTTGTGAGTTTGGCATGCGCTTCTCTGTACTGGTGGCCCAACCGCTGAAAACTTGGATGATCGGAGAGTAAACAAGAACAACCATCAGCTATAGACTGGAAGGAAAGTAGGAACAAGCTTTGTGTCATCGAGATTCTTTGCTGAATACAGATAGTGCAGATTCCCTTCTCTCAAGATTGCGATTGGGCAAAGCGCGAATGACGCTAAATGAAATGGATGGATTTAGAAATTATACCTCCGAGGACTCTTGACAAAGCGACCTACTCTCGTTCTCAACTGGGTCAGTTGAAGTGGCGGCCGGTTACTGGCCGGGCCAGTCTGGCGGCCAGTTACTGGCCCGTCGAAGTCGAATATTGGCCAGCCTCATCCAGAGACGGAGCAGATAGTGGACCGTCAGATAGCCGCCGTCTGAGATTGATTTAGGATTAGTCGAAGGTCGATAGAGTGAGGTTGTATACGAAAGGATTCGAGATGAGAGTTGAACAGTTCACCTTGAGCTCCCGGAGAGCCTGAGAGATATCCTTGAACGTCTTCGATTGGAGCACATAAGCTTCGGACCAAGAAGTAAATAGACATACTGCTATTAGGAAATTCCTAATAGGAATGGAATCCTACCTTCGGGGGTAGAGCCATACCGAAACAACATCAGTGCATCTAGTATGTCATGACCTTGATGGTGCAATTTGGAGGATTTAGTAGGCTCCTTCTACACCTTTTCCCATGCGAGTTTGGCAAACGCGCATGCAACTATGTCACTGTCACATCCAAAAATACATAATCATGTTTGATACAAGCGAGAGATCTCGGATGCAAGTTTGACAATATGCATCCAAGTTTGTCGCATGATGCGTGATAGTAGTACTCCCACTACAGGGTCCCCCAAATAAAACTCTCATGTCCCATCACCCGTTGGTGGTGTTTCAGCTCAGTGCCGTATCACGTTGATTCACCGGAAAGAAATCGGCCTGAACTCTTCCGCATGCATTTTGAGCAATTTTGCGTAACTTAATTGTGCATAGCTCGGCAGGCCAAAGCTTATCCGGAATTCAAAGGTACCATTGAAAAACGCTCGGCAAGGTCTTTCTGATGAAGTATCTTTCTTGTAAAAATTCGTCGAATGCGTCTGGTTCAAGTTGCGGACAATAGCACACTTTATATGGCGCACCATGTATCTCGCTTTGCGTTGGGGAGAAGCTACTTGCCTCGGGATAATGCTGGGTGTAAAATAATTATTAAAATAATCACATTGTGTATGTGACAATATTTAGGAATTACTTTAAAAGAAATAAGACATCATCGTAGGTTAATTCGGGTGGATGTGAATACAGTCGGTCATGTGTAAGTCAAATACTCGATGATCCTTGGTGGCATAGCGGCCCCACCCGATAGAATTGATCTCACTTTTCTTTTGAGTGGAAAGTAAATTATACACGTTTGACATGGTAGATTGTACGAGTCATAGGTGAAACGTTTATCAACTCTATCTAGTCAACAGAGAAAGAAGGTCCTGCCGTAGACTGGCATAGCGGCCCCACCCGATAGAATTGATCTCACTGAGAGTGGTGGAACAAGTAGGTAGTAGCTAACTGTCTTGTGCATGCGTGCAAGTGCAGGTCGCAGGTTCGATTCCCGGCAGCTGCTATTCTCCACCCCAGCTGGGAGTAGAGCCCATGTTCATTGAATCGATTCTGCCATTCAGAATCGATTCCAACACCGTATTATATGTGTGTAAGAAGCAATTCTCGAATTTATTCTGAGTTTTGAACTCAGTTTATTTAACGATCCCAGAGCAATCTCCGTCCGTCACTAAATTTCACCGATGTCACCAAAAAATATCTATGCACGACTCGTACAATTTGGATGGGTTTTGAAATCTCTTGGAAGCAGTTCTGGAACCGGTTTGCAGACTCAAAACCAATCTATCAAACGATCCGGCAAGCACCTTCACCACGCGCTTGAATCTTCGGTCACGTCGGTGAGATCTGGTGACAATCGGAGTGGAGTGTCTCCCGAAGAGTGTCTCATGTGACGGCATGGAGGGAGATCCCCTCAGTGTTTTCTAACCCGTTCTAATGGCTTCATACGGGTCACAGCCATACCCGTACCCTACCGCCGTGGACCCGAAATATGCGGCACCTCCCGTTGACGTCAGACAGCTGATGGCTGATATGGCAGGTAGTAGTATTCATCATTCCCTCTGGTCCCCCACTGAGCTCTTCTAACATCAGAACTTTTCCCAAAGTTGACTCCAGAGTATCAGGCCCAGGCCAGAGAAGCCCATCAGCACGTATTGCAACTGCAGCGTCAAGGCAAGGTGTCTTCCTTCCTTAGGCGTCTCGTATGTTTCTTCTAGGCATGAACAATGAAGCCGTGAGCTTACTGGAGCACATGCGGAATCAGATGAGGGAGATGGTCCAGACTGGTCTCACACCGGGGCGTATTCCTGCCGTGCCTGAGAGCTCGTCGCGGAGTAGTGAGAAGATAGTGGTGGTGAATGAAG